CCTATACAGGTATGAACACATAGGTACGTGTACACACTGCCACCCACACTCATTGTCCATGTGCACCCAAGCACTGGGCAAGCACACACAGGCACATGTGCCCTGCCCACACCCCATGGTGCTCCTCAGACCCTTCCTTTCTAGTGGGGGTGGCTGTGAAGGGCTGGGGTGGGGAGTGTGTGGCAAAGCCAGCCTGCTTCTCCTCCTCCCTGGATCTCTCTCCAGCGGCTGTGTTGCCGGCTTACACAGTGATCCTGCCTCTCCCACTGTCCCTCCAGCTCTGCCAAAAGTGACGGGAACTTCACTGCTGCTCATCTCTAGTTCTCACATGGCCAGTTTGTGTTTTCAGCTCTTCTATCTCCTCTGTGGTCACTGCTGAGCACCGACCCCCTCTGTTTTCAATAATGAGGGTGCCCTTCTCCTGGGGAGCCTACTGATAAGGCCAACATCTACACCCCATGACTGGGTGGGCAATGCTAGCACTTCCCATTTTCTTTCCTTTTCCTTCTTGCTTCTGTCTTTCTTTTCTTTCTTTCTTCATTTCTTTTTATTCCTTTTGTAGTACTGGGCTAGCCAGGCGCTCCACCACTGAGCTGCACTCCAGCCTAAGTGACCAGGGCCAACACTTACTGAATGAGGGGAATGAACTCTTGGAGATCCTCCTGCCACGATGGTCTCAATCACTCCAGCTCCTTTTACTTTTGAGACAGTCTACATTGCCCAGGCCAGCTTCAAACTTTTGATCCTCCTACTTCAGCCTCTGGAATATCTGGGTTACAGGTGTGCACCCCAAGCCCAGCTAGCATTCCCTTTTAATAGTCCCAGGTGCACACTTGCTTGACACACTCCTTCCATGCCACACGTGGCCATGTAGTGGTCACACAAAAACATGCTGTGTGCACACACACATGCCACAGGCACACTCATGTAACAGGCACACTCAGAGATACAAATGGTTCTGAGGATGCACATACACGTGCACACATGCGCACATACCCACACACACTCCACAGTTGAGGAGCAAAGATGAGGAAGGAGCTGAATTCTGGCTCCAGGAAGTCAGAGATATGGCTGAGAGCCAGCAAGCAGTCCCTGGGCAGAGGCTCTGCAGAGCATGCTGGCTGTCTGTGCAGACTCAAGTCCACACACACAGACATGAAAACATACACCTGGACACACACAGAGGAGCTCATGCATATGTGTGCATAAACATACACAGGCATGCACACAAGTGCAAGCATGTGCACACAAATACAGACACGTGCACATACATGCACATGCACAGACACTTGCTATGTGCAGAGAGTTGGATACAAGGGACAGAAGGCTATGTGTACACAGACCTATGCACACACACACACACACACACACACACTTGTGCACACAGCCCTGCATGCAATCACACTTGCATACTTGAACGCACAGTGTTGCCAAATCACATACACCTGCACACTTGTCCAGGCTGATGTGTGCACACAGACCCTGCAGACACAGCATGGACACATCATGCAGTCAGGGCTCATTTCCACACCTCAATCTGAGATCTTAGAAAATACCTGGAGAGAGAATCAGGTTAACATAGCCCAGTCCCCTGGTGATGCTGAGGCTTGGGGAGCGGCATCCCAGCCACTGCCCCCTCCCCCTTACCCCAGCCTGGCTCTACTCCCTGGGTGAGGCCTATGGAAACTCATGGAAGAGCTAGCTGGCACCTGCCTGGGGTCAGGTAGGGGGTGACAGAGGCAGGGTCACTTAGGCTGGGCTTCCTAGTGTAGGTAGGAGCTCATCAGGTGGGGTGCTTGTAACTGCTGGTCAGTCTAGAGCTCCAGAGAGTTCCTCCCTACCCAGCCTCTCTTGGGCCCACCAGCAGGTGTTTCACCATTAGCAGTCACAGGTGCCCTCAAGGAGGTGTCAGGACCAGCTTGGGAGGTATCCCCTGACAGTGTGGCCTGGCTCAGGGAGAGAAAGACCTTACCACATCTGCTCCCCACAACAGCTCCACCATGGGGACTGTGGTTGCGGTTGACAGAGCCAATTCCAAAAGACACTCTAAAAGGAGCTCTATGAGGCTGGGGGAGCTTCAGGTGTGGCTGGGACCAGGTGCTTAGCAACTCCACACTCTTTCTTGGCCTTGGCTGTGCCCTATTCCCTGTTGGCCTCTCCCCTTGTGGGATCTAGAGGTGGATGGGAGTCCTTGGCTGAGAGCAGGGGTTCTTCAGAAAACTTCAGCTGCATCTAAAAGACAGGTGGGAGCAGTGGGCCAGGCATGTTCCCTAGCAATCCTGGACACTGTTTCAGCTGTTTTATACATGGGGAAACTGAGGCTTGGGCCTGAGGGACTTGCTGGTGTTTCCTAACAGACAATAGGAGGCAGAGTTGGGAAGTGAACCGTGGCCCAAGTTCTTCCTTTGTGCACCGTGTCCCTGCTCCTTCCCTGTGCCATGACTGGAGCCCATGGACATGTGCTGAGGAAGCTGGTACTGCGTGGCTCTTTTGTCTCACATCTGGCAGCTCCCCACTCCGCCCAGCACCGGAAGGCCTGAGTGGGAGCCTGTGTGTGGGCAGGCCCTGGGAAAGGGCAGAGCTCCATGGAGCTCTTGGGTTTGGGTGGTGCCAAGCGGAGAGCTCGGGTGCAGAGGGAAGGAACCTGTGTGCCAGCTAGGGAGGAGAAGCACCGAGAGGACATTCACGCGTCCTAGATAGAGGAGTGGGCTGGCGACATGGGGCAGGGCTAACAGTATTGTTAAAGACCATCTCTGGGAGGTCTCTGGCCCCTGACCAGTCCAGACCAGAGCAGGGTTTCACCTAGGCTATCATCAAGCTGATCCCTGAAACCTACCAGTTTTCCAAAACACAGGAGATTTACAGTAGCCATTCAAAAGGGATGCACTGCCCAGGCCTAGCATGCTAAGGAAGCCCATTTAAACTACAAGGGAAATAACTTCAAAACAGCCGGGCTACTTTCTGATCCTGGTGTTGCTCTCAGTACCTTTCTGCCTATAAAGGCAACCTCCTCAGCCTGGCTCACCAAATACTCATCATTTTATAGGACAAAGTATTGTGGATTCTAGAATCACAAACAAAAGCCCACTATGATCTTCAAACCAGGTATGTAGTAATTTTGTCTTCTGCAGTCCTATGGGGAAGAGCAAGGATGGACCTGGGCAGTGTGGACCCGCACAGGGAGACTAAGGCGCTTGGGCTCCTAGCAGTCTCTACAGAGCTGCCTTTGTCCAACATGCGCTCTCTCCTACCCCTAGGCCTGGGCCTGGAGAAAGGCCGTCCCCACTCCTGGCTCTTCACCTGGGTCCCAGGTAAGGCTCGAGAATGCAACCACCACCACTGTTCCCAGGGCACAGTGTGTTTGTGAGCTCAAGGACCACTGACGTCAGGCCAGCGGCGACACTGCCACAGCCTGGCTACTGGGAACTGGGCATGGCAGGCTATGGGCAGAGGGCAAGGGGGCATATCTTGGTGGCCCCTCTCTGTTGCGCTGGTCCCTGAGCTGCTGAGCACCAGCTGAGAATGAGTGAAGCTGTGGTAGCCAGGCCACATGCTGTACATCTGAGGCTTTCAGGGCCCCTGGGCTGTGACCCATCAATGTCACAGGATTGTGAGAAGGCCTAGCAGAGGGGAGGCTCAGAGGCCAGGCGTGAGGTCAGCCTTACACAATCAGCCATCTGGAGGCGGCTCTTTACACATGGAGCCAGCCAGAGCAGGCTGGGGCAGCACCAGCCCACAGGGTGTAAGCCTGGCACTCCGGTTCCCACCGAGGCCCACCTGCCAGTGAAGCTTCTCTGGCCAAGCCCAGCCAGCCAGAGGCTTCTGGGGGAGGCTCAGAAGGACTGGCTGTGTGCAACAGGATGGCTCTGATGTCACAAGATCAAGCCAGGCAAGCAGTGGCCCCTCCACACAGCAGGCCCTTCTTTTCCACCTGCCCACACCCTCCTAGACTGGTTGAAATATCTCCCATCACGGCCCAGAGAGGCATCTCAGGTGTCCTCGCTCAGCCAGCACATGGCTGAAACTGCTCTTTACACCTGCTGAGGAGGGGCCAGGGACTGCCTAGCTTTGCCTTCCACGCTCGTGTGGGAGATGGGGCTGCAGACCTCTGTGCTGTGCAGCACAGCTGAGTCGAAGCTGCAGGCCCTCAACTCCAGATGGCTTGGGGATCCCCATGAGAACTGTGGCAGGAAATCAGGGTCACCAGAAGAGTGGTCAGAGGACCCCGGGCTCCACCCCAAACTTCTTGCTCAGGCATGGCACAGGCTGCAGTGTGGCCCAGGGCCAAGATGCAGGGACACAGGCCAGAGTCGGAACATGAGTCAAGTGAGCACATCCCCCTCTGCCTGTCCCCTACCCTCCTCAGTGGGCAGTGAACTCTGCCAAATCTGGTCAGAGACCTGGAGTCATCCCAACTCTTCCCTAGCCCCACAGATCCAGAGCCCCTGTGACTGAGCTATATCAGCCTTGTCTGTCCCCTGCACATCTCACCCTTGGCTGACCTCATATAGAATGCCTTCCCCCTAAGGGCAGCATGGCCCAGTGCAAGGAAATTGGATGGTGCCACTCCCTGCCAGAGACCCCATTCCCCAGGATCCTGAACCTCAGCCTGGCCCCAGGCTGCCCCTGCATTGCCCCCGTTGATGCCCATTGTCCCCAGCTGTGAGTCACACATGGTCTCACATCACACTCTACTCCAGCTGGTATCTGGCCTGTCCTGCAACCCCAGTCACCTTCTGCACTCCAGGGCAGATGGGACCTCCCCAGGAAGCTGGCCTGTTTCCCGCTCTGCCCGGGGAGAAAGCTTCCCTCCTCCCTCTCATACCTGCTACTCCATGGCCCTGTGCTGCTGCAGGGTAGTCACAGGCTTTGTGTGTCTTCCCTTTTGGACGAGGGACTCCCCAAAGGGAGTAGCCCATCGCATTCAGCTCTGTGACACCAGCGTCCAGCAGAGGGCTGGACACAAGAGCAGGCCGCAAGGACTTTGGCCCACAAGAGAATGACTGAAAACAAAGGCATCTGCTTTATTTGTTTTCAGACAGCAGCACATGCTGTTTCCTAAATACATGGTGGCCGTGCTCAGAGGATATGCAATGCCCTCAGGAAGGGCAGGGCACGGTGGCATGGCCTGCAGTCTGTGTCTGTGGTCCCGTGGCTGGTCTTTTGGTCACAGCTGCAAGCTGGTCCCTGGTACCAGATGTGGTAGCTGCTCCTCAGCCCTGCAAAGGGAAGGTCAGAGTTCAGTCATGGCTCCTGCGGCCTGATCTCATAGTCCTGAGCCTTGGCTCCTAGTGGCCTTGGCATCCTGCTCACATCTCCCTGCTCAGTAGCACACAAGTCTTGAGGGATGCATTAGCAAAGCTATCCCAGCAGGCAGGACATTCTAGGCTCCTGAGCCAGCAAAGAGCCAGGCAGCCTGCCTCCCCCAGGGCACAGCTGTGCTTCCACTCTCCTCACCAAGGCTGCCTTGCTGTCCCCACCTGAATGGCTCAGCATAGTCCATACATATGCCCTGGGGCTGAGGCCCCTGTAGGTGTCTGAGCTATCGCTGGAGAGAGCACAGTGGCCACCCAGCTGTTCCACCAGAAGCCTCTGTCCCCGTCACCCGGCCACTCCTAGAAGCAAATCCCTCTTGAGGTCCTCCTTCTTCTTGCTCCCAGGAGCCTCACATGATGGGGACAGGCAGAGGACAGTGAGGCCTTCTCCAACCTCACTGTGACTCAGGCACGGGGTGCCACTTTGCATGCTCCAGAAAGCGCGGGCACCCAGGCTGGCCTCTGTGGTGGACAGCTGTTCATCTCCAGTGTGCTCTCTAATGCTAGTGTGGTGAGGGTCTGGAAAGCAAGGCCAGGTCTGGCGGTAGCCCAGAGCCCATTGGGCATCTGGACCCCAGAATGCTGGGGCTTCCTGTATTCTGCCTGCCTCACATCACTGGTATGATGAAAACACACACGTGAGACAAGCTTGTTAAGAGTATGCTGTGGGGGCAGCAGGGCTGAGAATCACCACAGGCCTGTGGGGGTGGGGAGACAGGAGGGAGGACAGAGGGCAGGGTCAGGAGCTGAGGAGCTGCCTGTTGTGAGACACATCAAGATGTGAGTCCTCCCCTCGGTGGAAACCAGAGAATGAAGACCAGCGGCTGGGGCAGGGAGAGGGCTTGGGGCCAGCCTGGCCCTTGCTGACAGGTAGGAGACCAAGACCCTGGTTGCTGGCAGGTGCCCAGCTCCTCAGTCCACAAGTCAGTGGGGCTGACACAGACTCTTCTGCGCTTGCCCTGAAATTGGGCACACATTTTTTCTCTTCCACCCTGGGCTTCACACTGTGACAGCTGCTTGAGTCTCTGTGTCCACCCAGCTGCTTGAGTCTCTGTGTCCACCCATCCCACAGGGCAGCCGTTGGGCTAACAGGGATGGGGCACTCACTGGTGTGGGTTGCACCTGGCAGGCATTAGCAGCCTGGGTACACTCACAAGGCCTAGGCCTGCAAGACTGTACAGGCAATGGGAAAGCCTCCAGACAGCTGAAGAACACACGGCCTCCGACTACAGCCCTTTTTATTTGTCATAGTGCTGGAGATGGTCCCCAGGGTTTCAATATGCTATGAAAACTATGGCACAGCCCCAGCCAAAAAGCCCTTGGCCCTTGTCATCCCAGGCACCTAAAGTACCCTGTCTCCAACTTTGGCAAAAGAAACTTTTTTATATTTTATTTTACTTATTTTATGTTTATTTTTTGGTACCAGGGATCATACAATTTCATGCTCTTCATGCTTGCCAGGCAGGCGCTTATGCCACTGAGATAAATCCCCAGCTGAAAGAAGCTTTTCTGTTCAGTATGGTGACACATGCCAATAACCCCAGGCACTAGGGAGGCTGAGGCAGGAGAATCACAAGTTTGAGGTCAACTTGGATGATTTAATGAGACCTCATCTCAAAATAAAATGAAAATGGCCTAGGGATGTTACTCAGTGGCAGAATACTCGCCTAGCATGAGGTCCTGGGTTCCATTCTCAGTTCTAATCCTCACCCCATAAAAGCAATAGCTTTCCTAGAGGAAGACCTTTGTCCCACACTTTTTGAAACACCTTATCCAACACAACAGCCCTCCGGCAAAGTCCTTGCCCAGAAGCCCCTGAATGAGTGAGGCTCCCTAGGTAGGAGGTAATGTGTGGGGTGCACAAGGGTCAGGTGCAGGCTGGAGTAGCCTGTGGCACCAGAGGATGGGATGAGGCTTGGGCAGGAGGATGGGACCACTGAGAAGAGAGGGCAGCAGCCACAGACAGCCAGAGAACAGATCTACTGCAGGGCCAGAGAGCGAGGGGAAGCTTGGGCACCCCTCAGGTTGAGGACGGCCTGGGCTGGTTTCCCTTAGGCCTAACACCCATTCCGCCCCTTCCATGGGGCTGTCTCTGTCCTCAGTCAACCTCTTCTCACTCATCATCCCCAAAGGCAGGAATCTGGGCACTTGGATACCCTTAACTGGTACAGGCCCCTTGGAAGGTGAGACCTCTCCTTGTGCTGAGTCAGACCATTCATGGGAGAGCAAGCAGGCAGAGGCTCTGAAGCAGGAAGTGACTGAGGTTCCTCTCTGGGGCACAGGCAGGGCCCTGTGCCCAAGGCAGGCAGCCTTACCTTGTGGGCAGCACTCGCACACACGCAGCGCTGGTAGGCCTTGACCAGGTCCGAGCACAGCAGCACCTCGTGTGCGTGGTCACGGTAGCAGCGAAGGATCTGGGCCTGCAGCCCTGAGCACACGGGCTCCACCCTGCGGGGCCTGCAGGTGATAAGAGCAGGCAGACTAGCTCAGAGCCAGCTGGGCCAGCCCACTCCCCAGGGCCCGGAGGGAAGAGGCTCAGGTTCACTTTACACCCTTGTGCCAGATGGCAGCAGAGCCTTGGAGGTCCACCAGTGCCTATGTAACCTATCCGAGGCCATAAAGGACACAGTGGGGTACATCCTTGGAGGGACTGAGGCTCACACTGTGCAGGAATCAAGCACTGGCTGTGAGTTACAGCTCCATACTGCACTGCAGCCTGAGCACCTCCAGAAGCCAGATGCACCCAGGTCAGCCACCTCCAGGCATTTAACCACATGATGTATACACTGCATTCATTTTCTTACAAAACACTATTTTCCTGACTTAAAAGGAATAGATGTGAAACACGACAACTAGAAACCTACAGAAATGTACAAAAAGAAATAAAACATTTTGTGATTTGTATTTCTGAGAGAACTATGGAAATATTTTGAAGTACTTGACTAGTTTTCCTTTATCAAAGTAGTTTTAGAACGTATGAAAAATGAATATTCTTACTTTTTAAAAAATTGTGAAATAAAAATAAATGACAAGCGGCCAGGGATTTAGCTCAACAGTGTAAGTGCCTGCCTGGCAAGCAGCGAGATCATGAGTTCAATCCCTGGTACAAAAAAAAAAAAAAAAAACAAAAACACATGACAAGAAAACAAAACACAGTATACTTGGATCGGCTCCACTCCTTCCAGGTTCTTCTAGTCCTGTCACCTTTCCCCCCTTTCTCCCTCACATGTGATACACGCTTCCCATGCACACTCATTGTTGAGCACCTCTGCCCTGCGGCATATGCCCCTAGTTATCACCACCTCCTTGCACATAAGGACTCTGTGGCATGGGAAGAGAGGTCACGCAGTTAGGAGGCAGGAGGATGTTTATTTCCATTCCCTGGCTCACCTCATTCTACTGGTTTCCTTTCTGAGTAGGCCCTGTGCCCAGGTCGCACAGGCTTGCCCCAGCACAGGTAGGCTTGCAGTACCCTGCTGCAGGTCATTCAGAATTTGACTGCACCGTGGTGGGGGTCACTGAGGGAGGTGTAGAGATGCAGGTGTGTGGTCCTGCTCCGCACCACACAGTCTCTTTCAGAAGTACACGTGAGGGTTTTGTCTTTGCATCACCTCTGTCCTCATATATAGGACAGGTCCCTTGGACACAGCTCCAGCTCTCAGCCCTGGAGGCTCCCATTGCTGGTGTCCATCTGACGATTCTGAGGTGTCTGCAGCAAGACCACAGCTGGGGTGCACGGGGTCACCCCACATCCCTCCCTAAATGCTCATAGTATGGCTCGGTTTCTTTATTTAAGAGTCTTCTTGCATGGCTGTGTTCAGGCCTGGTCCTTTAACACCACGTTCTTAGAGCCAGAGCTCATGGTGGCATCTGGCCTTGCAAGGACTCTCTGGCTTCCTGCTCTGGTAATTACTGTGCACCTTTGAGCCCTTGGAAGTCACAGGCTTCTTTCTTAGGAAAGTGGGAAAAGGAGCACCTTCCCTATGCAGGGGTGATCAATACAGCTGTGACCACCGGTGTCTTATGCTGTTTCCTGTCACCTGCATGCTAATCCATCCTCTTCTACCTTCCTTACATGCTGTCCCTCCTGAGAATGTCTTAAGTCCTGACCCATTCTTGCTCTGCTGGGACACACAGCTTCTAAGAGCCCAGGATCTTTTTCCCCTTTCTGTAGCACAGCTCTGTGTGAAGTGGGACCCATCACTAGCATTGAGCACCCACAGAGACCAAGTCGGGTAAAGCTTCTGGGTCTGCAAAGACAGTTTCCTGAACTGTCACCTGGTGTGAGCTTCTTGACCTGTGTATAGAAGGTGCCAGGTAGAGGCGCAGTGATCCAGCCTGAGCCAGAGCTCCAACCCTGAGCCCTTCCCTCTCTGAGGGACACCAGAGACATTGACACTTACTCTATGGTGCCATAATGAGCAGGGAGAAGCAAATTCATATCCCTGTCTCTTCCTTCTGTGGCTTCAGGTGCCTAGAAGAGGGCCCTGTGCCTTTTAAGGGCAAACCTCCCAGAATACCTATTGGGCTCCCCAGTCAAGAGAAAATGGGCCACAGTGAAATCTAACCCCAGCACACCAGTATTACCCCTGGGCCCACAGAGGCCTCTCTCTGGGATTTATCAGGAACAGTGTGAGGAGACAGAATGGTAGGCAAATGTCAACTGGAAGAAATTTCACCCACTCATCCATACAGAGGCTCTGAATGAGATAAGACAGGGACAGCAGTGCTTCTGGAATGAGGGCTTTCTCTGAAGCAAGACAGTGATGGGCTGGGGTCAAGCCATCCATGAAGGAGGTTTGGGCTCCCTGGCCAACCCACCTAGAAGTTGGCCCCGATGTCCTTCTACCAGGCATACAAACCAGCTCCGATTTGCGGCAACACTTGGCCTGAGAACTGCTGATCATCAAGTGCATATTTATGGGGTGCCTAGACTTTTCAGCCCAGACTCCTACCAGAGGGCCTTTTTGCTGCAGTGAGGATACACAAGATCAAAGGTCTGTGTGGCTGTGAAGGGGACCATATCACCTGGTCAGTGTGCAGGATGTCTGCTCTCTTAGGCTGCAGGGAAATGAAGTCCTGTCACTCCTGGCCACATATATGCAGTGGGAACAGTGACCTCACATGACAGTGGCAGCACATGCTATGCTTGTGAAGTGCTGCTGCCACGAATGCTAGCTGCCAGTGTGGGAGAATGAGGCAGAGCCGGGGTTTGGGGTGGAGGAGAGTGTGCTTGCAGGAAGGTGGGTTATTGGCAGCACTTGGTAGAGAAGCATGGAGACATGGAAGCCTTGGGGAAGTGCACTGCATGTGTTGGGCTTGCAGTAGGGAACTTGACCTCAAACTGTGCCTCCCTCTAAAGTCAGTGCTGAGACTATCCAAGACCCAGTTCAGACCTGGCCCAGGAAGCCAAGATTGGACCGCATGATCTAGACTAGGCTAGCAAGATCCAACTCACAGATTTGGTGAAAGTGTCAATGCTAGAACCACTACCCTCTGGGAAACACAGAAACCCAGGTCACCAGCAGTGGCGGAAGGAAATGCATCTTTATCCACCAGTGCACTGGCTGTGTCTGGCCTTCTTGTAACATAAGCTTGTCCTCTCCACTCTGGTGGACAGTATGTGGCATAATTGGAACTGCTGCTGGGAGAAAGCACCACACCAGAGCTTGGAACAATCTTCTGCACACCACCAAGACCATGGTGGGACCTCCTCAAAAGTCACATCCTTCCTGTGCCCTCAGGACATGGGCAAAGATCACAGATGTGACCAGTGACTGAGATCACAGTGGAGTAGCATGGCCCATAGAAATCCAGTTCAGGATGGCGGTAGAAATTGAGCAATGTTCCAATCAGCTGAGGAGCATGGGGACCATCAGCAGCACGGAAGTGTGGCCAAGGCCCTGGAGCAGAGTCTCTCTAAGCCCTTGGCAGGCCTGGGCGGCACAAACCTCCACTCTTCTGGACTCAGGGCCTTACGATGACAAGAGACACATTTTTGTTGTCTGAAAGCATTCAAGTCATGTCACTTGGTGACAGTAGCCCAGGAAATCCACCCTGTCAGGCAGAAGAGGGAACCCAGGGCAGCATGAGCAGCCTTAGGTGGGTAACAGATATTCCCTGGGTCCACTTTCCAACAGAGGGTGACACTTGTTCTTGAACCACAGCCAACTTTACTGGAGCAATAGCTGTTGTGTGTCTGTGAGCACCTACTATGCATCAGGCTCTCTTCCAAGCTCTGCACGGTGTTCTGATCCTGCTCCCTGTGAGGTCTTTTTTCTTTTTCTTTTTCCTTTTTATCGGTACCAGGGATTGAACTCATGACTGCCTCCTTGCAAGGCAGGCGCTTATGCTGCTGAGCTAAATCCCCAGCCCCTCCCTGTGAGGTCTTATCTACACTGAGAGATGAATAACTATGCCCTGGTTTACCTGGTGATCAAGGGAAGGGGCCTTTTCTTGCTCCCCAGGAAGCTCTGTGTGTTATGACATCAGGAGTGAGGATCAGGCTGTGGCAGAGGACAAGACAAAGAGTGCATTTCCAATTTGGTATACAGCAGGTGTGGAACATTCTGGCCCCTTTGGAAGTATGTCTGGGCAGGCCCACAGCCCTGAATATTCTAGCCCCATGTAGAACCCATACCCACTCAGAACCCCTCCTGGGTCATTCAGAATCCCTCCTACCAAGCCAGCCACACACTAGGTCCTGGGAATATCCACACCTACTCTGTGAGCTGGCATTACTGTACCGTTCTGCCAGTGGAGACTGGGTGAGGTTAGGTAGCTTGCCCAAAGCCATGTGGCAGTAAGACAGAGGCAGAATAAGGGATTGTTGTGTCTGGCTTCACACTATGTCATTTTAGTTCCACTCTATCTTTAGAAAAGCCCACAGGCTCCCACAAGAAGAGATAAGCAAGCATACAAAGAAGACAGAGAGAGTCAAGCCCAAACCATGCAGTGGGCAGGGCTTTGCAGCAATGGAGGCCAAAGCTGCCTGTCTGTCCTTGTAGGGAGGGAGGTCCTGGGCAAGAGTCCAGGTAGGGAGGGAAGGAGGAGGACAGGAGCATCCTGGGAGGCCAGCACCACCAGCCATGCAAGGGAACAAAAGGCAGCAGAGTCGGGAGAATTACTGGCCTGGGTCAGAGCTGGGTGGTGTTTTCCATCTTCCCCACTGCAGCTGCCTCCACCGTCAGCACAGGGAGAAGACCAGGGAGCAAACCCAGGCATCTCTCTCTGCTTCCAACTGAGTCTCCTATAGAGTGCACCCCAGCCTGCTCATGTGCGGCCCCAAACCCTCCGTGTGCACTCTTTATTTTATTTAATAAATGGAATCTCATCAACTTATCCTTCTTCTATTATCGCTGTTGACATCAATCTGATAATATTGGCCTGGTGTGGAATTGGGCTATTATATGTCCTCCTGATATTTAATTTCAGAGCAACATTGGCAGGGGGGTGCA